ATAATTTTATTTTTATTAAATATTCTTTCCGGCAAGCAATTTGGATACTAAGGATGTGTTGAGAAAGCCGGAAATGAAAGAAAGGCAACTGGAGGACCATTTGTGTAATTTCCGCTCCGGTTTGATAGCTTCCCCGTATTGGTATTTTTTTCAGGTTGCAGGAGAAACAAAAGTACGACACGTATAAATGACACAATAAACAATGAGGCAAGCAAGCACAAATACGAGATATCTGAGGTGGCTGAGAACATTTCTACCGGAAACAAGGTGACATTAAGCATGAGTTATGACGTCACTGAACGTAAGACGCCAGCTTAGCGAGGATATTATAACAAGTGACGTCCCACCCAAGGACGTATAAACAATACCTAAACCTCACAAGATTACCCTGTCAACGTCTAATAGATAAACGGACAATAATGATTACAAACTACCGGAGCGCCTCCGGAATTGCCGGAGAAACACCATTCGATTGCATTTTTGCGACATTATTAAATCCATAATAGTGATTTACACGCAAGAATAAAATAAACCGATAAATTCCCCAAAATGGCATTGTATTGAAAAGTTATTTTACAAAATGAAAATAAATCATTAAAAACAGAAGCGTTCAACAGTGCATCTATATTTTAATTTCCTGTATTGTGATCCCATTAAAATCCGCGCAGAGGGATCCAGTGACGTCACTGGTTCGATTGATTCCGTCCACCAGTCATTTCCGGTTGGCTTCGCGACATTGCATCGGCCGAAACCAATTCCAAACTTGTCTCATTTTCGCGTGAATGGTTGCTTGCCTATCTACCTTTCCTATTTATTCCTGGTCACTTCCGACAAAATTGCAATTACGACACATGCGGAAGTGGCATGCACCGAATATCCATTACCTCCCCAAAGCTTTATTGCTGAATAAAATTTGTCAAAATTGTTGTATGACTTTCAGGGAGAATTAGGTACATTTTTTATACATTTGCGACTTGGCAAATATTTTGCTACATTTACTACAAAATCTATTAAAAACATTAATTAAATCACTATTAAGATGAGAATAATAAAAGTGTTTCTTATCTTACCTGTGAACTTTCAATCCTCAAATGTTTCCTCTACAATGTCTATATTTTGGGCTAGTTCGACACTTAATAAATTTTAAGTTCAAATATTAATTTTGATACTTTCAGACTCGGTGTTCGTCGTTAATCATTACCTCGATCAAGAGGCATTGCCACGTACATTTCCAACATAATACAATCAAAAGTTTAAGTTTTAATTTATTAAATATAATGAAATTTAAATTTTCTGGTGCGTTTATAGCTTTACTAGGTAGGCTATACCACCTGTGTTTATTCCGCTTAGATTTTTTTGATGGAAAACTATTTTTCTTCGATTTAAGGCTTATAACGCTAACTTGAATATTTTTATGAACGAATGATTTAGGTGTTGTCACGAAAATTTGTTACAAAAATTTAAAAATTAAATGTTTAGGGAGGTGTTTTTTCAGATTTATAAGAGCAATATTTTGTAAATATATGTACAAAAAATGTTTACTTCAATAAATTTATTTATTTGTTGGTAGGTGATTTTCTAATGGTCGTTAGGTACTACTGTTACTAGCATTAAGCCCGATTTTTGGTAAATTCGATTAAATCTCAGTTAAAATTTAACTGTTCCATAGTTGCTAATTAAGGTAGCGTTGATCTGATTGGAGTTGCTAAATTTTAGATTTTTATCAATAAGGCTCGGATTATATTCACACAAAAAATCTGTAAAATATGCGCAAATAATATGCACGCATTGTCACAAAAATAGGCACGAGATATTAAGAAATATGCTCCAATATATGCCAAATATGATCGATATGCAAAACTTTTAACAATAAATATTAAAGTTGGGATAAATTTTTATCCTCGAGTACACTAAACTTTGTATTTTCGACATCTTGAATTGCACACTATGAACGAAAGAGAATAAATAAATTGGTTTTCCAATAAAAAGCCATTCTAAAACCTAGTTATTAAAAGCCTTTCTCAGAAATATGTATTTTTCAGAAAATATCACTAATCTACCGAATGGAGGATTATAGCCATACCAAGGGAATTAAAAAAGTGTGGAACCAAACGTTTTTTGTTTAAACTATTGATTTTTAAAAAACTAATTGATGAATAATAAAGTACATATTACCTATAAAAAAGTGATATTTTGTCAAAAATAAAATTTTTCGAAATTTTCTTTTATTTTTGAGTTCTACAAAAATATTTATTTTTTTAAATGGCAACCCACTAAAAAACATTTTTCCTCTAAGGATTACAAATATATATTTTATATTAAATTTATTTTTTTTTACATAAATTGCAATTTTGACAAAAAAAATCGCCTAACTCAAAAATAAAACAAAATTTTGTTCTCAAAATACGATCACATTTTTTATATTACTTTAATTCGTATATATTATTATTTTCCGGAGGCAAATTATATAAAACAAAAAAACACTTGGTTCCATACTTTATTTTCACCCTGTATAAAACGAATCAGCAGGATAATAATTCTTTGAGTCTGGCTTACGAATTACCGGTTGTTTTCTTTTTAACATATTTTGTAATCGAATCATTTTTCTTAAACTGTCCAATTTTTAACTTGAACTGAAATTTTTAATCGAAAATTTGTGATTTTAAGAAAATATGCACAAATATGCAATATTTCCTAAAATAGGTATGCACGAAGTTGCCAAAATATGAATTTTTTGATTGACTTATTTTGATCAAAAAACAATAGATACAGATTTGATAACAAGAAATTACCACCTAGGATTTGAACTTTTACGAAAATTACGATTTTTATGTTGTTTGTAACTAGAATTTTCAAAAGTAGTTTTGTATACCTCAGGTTGGTTACCCTTCGTTGTTGTCCCAAATTATGGCAACCTATTCACAAATATCCCTAAATCCCAGGGAATAATATCTTGTTGATACGACAATATGCATAGAAAACTTACAATTTTGTTGATATACCTCATAATAACAAATATGCATTTTGCACATAATCCGAGCCTTATTTATCAATAACGCAATAACGAAGGACAATTGGAAAATTTTCTACTCACACTTATCAATTTGTGTTAGCTTTTTTAAACAAACCCCAAAAGCACGGGCGTCAATTTTGAGACAATAATTATTCCCAATGAAGTAATTTTTTACCTGAAGTTGTTCATAGCTAAAAAAAATGTATATGAACACACAAGAAGAAAGGTTTTTTTTTTCATTTAGGCAAAAAATTGTTTTCTTTAGTTACACAAACAACAATTGCATATTGCAATAGTACTGTAAATCTTTTATGGGTTTGATTTTTTCATAAGTTTATGACCACCCCAACATAAAAATGTTGTATGGGAGGGGCTATAGGGGTTATAACCTGCCCCTTCTAGAAATTCTCTCAATAACTAAAAAATGTGAAAATACTTATTTGGAACACTGCCTGTTACTACAGCTACAGTAGAACGCGGTTTTTCAACCCTGAAACGTCTTAAAACGTATTTTTGTAATTTGCGTTCATTTTGATTCTATAATAGACATAAAAAAACGCGACATTATCTTGGGAGACATCTTAATAGTCATTAATTTACGAAAATTTTTAAAGCACATTGATGTCTGATTTGTCATGCATGTCAGATAATAATCTGACAATAATTTGTAATAATTAATAATTACAAAATGTGTCAAGAACAGAAAATGTATGTACAGTGGAAAAATGTGATAACACGATTTTGATTTCACGTATTTTAGGGGGGCGTACAGGCAAAATTATCTTTATTATCTTTCATATTCGTGTTTTTTGAGAGAATTTATATAAAACAAAAGACGACTAGTGCGACTAGATCAAATTTTGCCTTTTAAAATTGACATTACCAATCGTCACAACAATCCCTAAATCAATTAAAATAAAAAAAAATTAAAGTGGCATAATTACAAAAAATTGTATAAAAAAAAATTGGTCGTAAAACTTTGAAGCACTCCTTTAAAATATCTCGGTTAGGCCATAAAAATTAGTGAAAGTTAAATACCAGATTAAGTTGTAAACACGGTATATCTTTCGACAGACTCTACCCAACCCTGATGACAATTCACAACATGCAGTTTAAAAAGCACAAATATGTATTATGTAACAATTTAATATACGTGCAGAAAATAACTACAAAAATTTCTTGAAATTTTTATCATTTGAAATTTCTACTTAATAAGACAACTAGTTTACATAGTCGAGTCCCCGGATAATTTTACACTAAGTCTCGTCGATTCCGGGGTACTTTGAGTAATTTCCGGATATCCGAAAGGCTTAAAGGTGGTCAACAACTGACGACCATTTATACGATTCTTCAAATAAAGTACGACCCAGATCTTTTTTCAAAGCAAATTTTTATTTTTATATTTATTCCTAATTTAATTATTAATCCGCGAGCACAGTGTTGAGAAGTGCTGCTCTACACCCTATACGACTTACATCCATAAAAATCAAAACAACCCCAAATAAATATTGTAATCTTGGTCGTAATCAAGTATGTCAACAGGAAGTACTTTATTATTCAAATAGGGTTGTACGTCTCTATAAAAATGTCTGCGAGAAATTTGATAAGTGTGACGATGGAATATTTCGATTTACATATAAAAATCACAAACAATCGTGCAAATTCAAAATTTAAATTAGCAACAATATGTCTCCGTTCCATAATTTATAAACTTGCGTCCTGTCTCTAGAGAAATGTGTTTTTTTATCTTTAGAAGGGATAAAATACTAACATTTGGCCGACATTAAAATTTTCCCGCTATAAATATTACAAACCCGCTGTAATCCTGAATTATGATGGAAATGTACCTTACGTACGTCCTTTTTGTCGTTTGTTCTGTTATTTAGTACAGGGATAATAGTTTCTTTTCTTGTCTTCCCTCGGGATTTTACGCTTGCTCTTCACCACAGGATTGCCACTCATTAAAATAACACAAAAAAGACATTCAGACATTACAAAGACACACTTTTATTTGAATTTGAGTACAAAATAGTAATTACAAAACTCTGCACTAATTTAATCATTTCAAAAAAGTGGAGAAAAGAACCAGATCTGCAACAAAAGCCATTACCAAATGAATACATAGACAAAGACTTACCTTAATCTTCGTAATCATCGTAAAAATAATCCACCTCTCTGCACACTCCAGGATAAACCAGAACTTGTCCAGGAGGACAAGCAGAAAATCGAGGCACATAAGCCACAGGCAGAGTCATCACCACTGTGAGGAAAAACAACAAAAAGAGAAATTTCATCATAGTGAACTCAATAAAATTGCAAAGAATATTAACGACTTTTCAGGGACTAATTATTTAAAAACTTCTTATCTGGTTGAAACAGGAACATAAAATCAATGCGGTTCGTGTTCCTGAATTAATGTAATAATTGAATTAAGTGCAAATTATAGAGCGTTAATCTCGTAAAACCGCTGTTTCCTAAACGGAAATAATTATCACTTGCAAGAAATTCATTTTTCGAAATTGTTAAAGACTAACGATTTGTCAACAATGCTAATGATGTTGTGTCAATGTATCGTTAAGAAGGTACGGCGGTAAACAATCCTCTTGTTGGAAAATTTTGTAATTACGACATTATCACAATCTTTAATAACAAACTGCAATGCACCAAATATTTAAAATTTTGACGGAAATTAAACCGCAAAGGTTAAATTATTTGAAGAACCTTGAATTCTTGATAAAGCTATGATAACTTCGTCATCTCCAATTTTAATTTAAAGTATTACGTGCTGTGAATCACTCCAAAAGTTCACAGCAATAAGAGCAACATTGTAATTAATTATCGCCAAATACTATTTTATAAATTTCCTCAAAATAAAAAACCTTTATCAACATTTTTAAATTTTAACCGATATTTTAAGGGTTCTATGGTACCATATCAACTTTTATTAATATAGAAGTAGATAAAATAGAAACAGAATAAAAAAATTATTTCGGAATTAGAGTAATAAAGATTAATAAGTTGTCTTTTTCAAACGACTAATTAACATTTAATTGCAATTAAGGATTTTATAAATTGATATGTAACTCCATTAATATCTGTCTGATTAGTATTTTGTTTTTAACTAGCTAGACAAAATAATAAAACACATACATAAAAAATGCGATTTAAAAGATGTAAAATAAAAAAGATTTAATTGATTTTTCCAGCTGGAAAGTTCTGTTTTATTTAAAAATTGTCACGGTAAATCTAAAGCGATTATGTTAAAAGGAAGCAATTTGCACTTGCTGGTCTGACAGGACTTGTCCGGTGCATATTAACACATAAAGCGTTTAATAAAATGCTTGTATTTTTCCATCATTGACTAAAATTAAAGCGTCTGGAAGATAGAAAAAAGACTGGTCCAATTAACAATTTATTTCTTATAAATTTTTACATTTATATTGACATACCAAAAAATATAACAAAAATAATACACTGCTTAAATTACCTACACTTTAAAGCTGACGACACACAAGTTATGTAATTAAACTTACATAACATAAAATAGAATAAATAAATTAATAAATAAAACGGAATACATGTTCAATTAGGTATATACAAAAGTGCTTCGAGCATTCCGCTACCGTTGTTAAATATCAATCTAAAAATCAAGATTTAATGAAAATTTTGAGTAGAAACAATTTAAAAACTTACCATTTTCGAAATATCTCTCTACACGTGCCGTTGACGTACTCGAAGCCGTACAAGCACAACGTGTCATTTGACGATTGGTTAATAGCTGAAATCGTCTTGATTTGTGTTGAATTGCTTTGTTGTTCCACTGGTACAGCGAGTAACAAACAAATATTGAACAAAATAAATATTGATAAAACAATGAAAAATCTATCCATATTTACAGCTTCACTTTAGCGTTCAAACAAAAGGAATAAGTTGTAGTGGTACATTCTCAATTAAATTGATAGTGAATTATCTTAAGGTCACAAGTTCAAAGCTACATCAATCTATCCGAAGTCAGTTCGTCTGATATTTGAAAAACGTGCAACATAACTTTTATAAGGCGAAAATGATTTGTCATTCCGTACCATATTCATTGATAAATTTTATTATTACTAAGAAAAGCAGACATATTGGAGGCGATGCCGTCATTATTATCAGTGATTTGTTGTTATTTATCACAAATTTCTACGCCTCTCTTTTAACAAAAATAAACTTAAAAAACTTCCATACAAATTCACTTTTATCAAATACAAAGCTGAATCCAGTAAATTCACCGATTGGTCTTTACAATAAAAATAGTTCAAATTCGAGAAACTTTATCATAGATTTAGCGTAAACTATTTCTCCTATTTGCATTATTCACGTATTGTTGGTAAATCAAATTTGCATCATATATTTTATTTATCTGTGTCTAATTGCGAAATATTGATAAAACTGTTGAAATTCTATCTTATGCAAAATTGTTATGGGTCGGTGGATAAAAAAGAGGACAGTGACATCGGCGTCATCATTAAATTTATACAATTTATATGTACCAACACAATAACAAAAACATTTACTTAAATTAACAAAAAAATTAAAATAAACGAAACCACTATTCCTAGAATTTGCAACTTGGATATTGAAAAAAAATATATAATAAAATATTATTGTCTTTATGTATTGAAATTTAATAGTTTGTATCACAAGGAAGGAAAGTGTATCTTTTCCTCCCGCAGGTGGAAGTTACTGTTCGAGACTTGTCGAGAGCAGTAACCATCCAGAAAGGAAAAGACACTTTTCTCCAGTGTAATTTATATAATTTTTCCTACGATCCAGCAAGAAAAACTTCAATTTCTGTTGATATCCCAGTTTTGTCATTAAATCTAGCAGCATGTTTTTCCGTTTCTTTGAGAGAGGTAAAATTTTGACCTCCCTGGGAGGTAATTGCCCACTTTCCTTTCTTTTAATATTAATTTCTATTTTTCTGAGCTGTATATTAATTATTTTTATATCCTTATATGGTTGTTTATGGTCAGGATCTTACACATATTTTTCTTATATGACTAAATTATTTTAAAATTACAACATTTACAAATAGTTTCAAAAGTGCAAATTTTACTTAAAACGGTCATTAGCGTAGGTATGTGACAAAATTTTAAACATTGGTTCATTTTAAAAAATGTATTTTGAAACCGGAAGTCCAAATTCCATGGTTATTGGAGATAACAAAAATAAGGACGCCCAAAATGAATGATACAATGTAAGTACAGTATAAACATTCATATCAAACTTAAATAGATAAGAAGCTGATTTAGAAATCGTACCACCTACTCTTTAATTCTGCAACCAAATATAGGAATATACAATATTAATTTTCGTTCAATAAAAGAAACAAAAAAACACTTGTAGAAACATTTTATTCTTCCCTGCAATCAGTGTGATACAAATTTATTTTATATGTGTCTTATTCGCGGATGATAAATATTCTTCTAATCTAATTATTCTTCTCCTTTGGTTACTGTAAAAAACAAACAGTATTAAAAAAGACACTTAAATTACAAATATGTAATAAACAATATGTGTCAACCACGACAACTTTAAAGTGTTTTTTGGAAATAATTTTAATAATTATTTTTCGATTTTTATATAACGGGTGTTTTTTAAATTTAGCGTCAAAGCTATGCATAAAAGTTTAATTGTGAACGAACTATCGTTGAAGGTTATTTATTAATTTGACATCTAACACGGATTACTATTAAAAGTAAAACAAATTTTTACAAAAAATTAAATGATAATTTGTTTGTAAAGCTTGATTTTAAAATCTGCATTTTTTATTATTTAACTGTTCATTTATTGATCCATACCTAATAACTTCCATTTGAAGTCTATTATAAAGGGGTCGGTAAGGTTTTTACAATTTATTTGACAGGATACTTTACTTGTTTTGCAGAATACCAGCTGTGTATTCATAAGCTACTTCACTTGATAATTTGTCATATTTAACATTAATTTTTTTTTTTTAATTTTAGGTGACTTATTTAAGTTTGATCAAATTTAGGCATGTTTTATCCGAAAATAAGTAGCAAACATCAAATTAACAATTCGTAAAATTGCATAATATTATGTGTTTTATAAAAAGATTATGACTAAATAAGTATCGTATTTAACAAATACCTTATAAACAGGTCGGCAATCTCCTGGAATGATTTGAACAGATTTTGGACCACAATTTGGTCTGATGCGTATTATATTCAAATTAACCATCATATCATAAAAAGAGAAATATTCATCAAAACTTATCCACTTACATGAAGTTTCACAAATCGACAATAAAACAAATATTGATAAACAACATAACCGAAAATACCTCATTTTATTTCTCGAAAATATTTCTCCCTTAATGAGATGATTCTTCTAAAATGTCTTATCTTTAACCTTAGAATATTATCATAATTTCATCTTTATATCTTTGTAATAATACTTAAATCCTTTATCTAATAATGAAGTTATGTTAAATAGTGAAATTCTCTGTACACATTTATCAGTTTATCACATTATTTTCGTAGATTCCAAAAAAAAATAAATAAAAATCAAACAAAACTCATTTACTCATTTATAAATAACACCCACCGATTTATTACAGTAAAGTAGTAAGGGCAAAAAATTTGTATACGTAAACTAGGTAAACATTTTTTTGGTTCCGGCGACGGTGGCATTGTTTGGTGGTTCAAAAATTTCGCCCCTTGTCCTTAAAGAATGATGAATTGAGTGTAACATAAATGTGGTTATTAAGTAATATATCTTCTTGTGCATCTGTGCATTATTTGGCTACTAAAGCAATAATTTTTCTTAATATTTAAAGATTTATACTATTAGCTGTCTTATTTTTTGTGTTATGAATTATTAAAAATAGGACGTTTTTGTCAAAAAAAAAACAATTTATTTCAAAAACTAAGCAAAATCGACAAATACCGTTTAATTAAAAAAAAAGTTTGTATTGTAATTTATTTTTATGAGACGCTGAAAAGTTAAAAATGATTTCACGCAATATACTAGATTAGTATATTGCCTGATCTTACAATTTCCTATACACATTTTTTTCAAAATTTAACACTTTTAAAGATTAATAATGAATTTTACCTCGCTAGGACACCTTGTATATTTTTACCAAAAAAAATAAGAGTACATAAAAACATCATATATTGATACAAATCAAACAGTTTTGAAATACAAATATTACCTTATAAATAGGTCTGCAGTCTCCTGGTATTATTTGTATAGTACCGGATTCACAATTTGCTCTAGGACGGATTACATTGGCATTCATAATTGTTTCGTAAAAGCTGAAGTATTCTTTGAAACTTTGCCATCCACCAAACGTTTTACAAACACACAATGTAATCAAAATAAATAAACAATTTAGTTTAAAAAACTTCATATTTTATTTTTTGCTACAATTTAGGCGGACAAACTATTGTATTTCTGATATAATGCATTCTTTGTTTCTCTATCATCCATTATGTAGTGTTCATAGGCGCCGAGTTTTCAAAGGCATTCTTTCAAACTGCATTATTTTTAAAGAAAATGCTTTTTACAGGTTTCTATGCATTATTTGTTATAATGTGACTATTTTACTGAAGACCTGACCTGCAAATATAAATATACAATCTAAGTTTATTTTTAATAAGGGTAGAAAAAAAAATAAAACCAGCTTTCAAAAAAGTTGTTTCGTATATTACATAATTTTAATGAAATTCGGAACTGCCACGCGATATTTAGGCGTAAAAAAAATGTGTCCCAAAGCATCCATGAAGTCGGCGCCTATGAACTACTAATATTTTATCTAAAATTATCATAAGTTATCTACCCTCAATTTCGACGTAAAGTAAATATTTGCAATAGGTAACTTAATTCTAGACTTAAGTGTAGGTAACAAAGTGTGTTATTTTGTTAGAAATGTGAAATATTGCTACAAAAATCATAAGAATCTATAATTATTGTAATTATTTATATAAAAACATCTTATAAAATACAATTATGATGTACATACAATGGCAAGCGTTTATTTTGTTATCACCGTGAAGAAAAAAATACAGTGTGTCCCCGGATAGGTGAAACGAATTTTGTAAAAGATAAAAAAAAGATTTAAATTTTTTGGAGTTCAGCCCTGCTTGACTAAAGATTAATTTTTAACATAATTTTAGTTTTAAAAAAATCAAGTATGGCTTGGAAATTTTTTATTTCTTGAACAGGGTTGAACCCCAAAAAATCAAAATTAAAGGAAAAAGTTTATCTTTTACAAGAGTCGTTTTACCTATCCGGGGACACACTGTATATTATTTCTCCCTCCACGGTTATTACATAAACCTGAAAGCTGAATTTCTCCATGGAGCTCTTAAAAACTACTTATTCTTAATGTTGATGTTTTTTCGCATGGCCTTTTCTAAAATTTCCGGAACTGAAAAAAAAAACAAATATTAGTTCAAATTATTCATAACAGATATAAGATACACAAAGGTGTTTCAAATCTCACCTCACTCAATATTTGTATACAACGACCTTTAATCCTTATATAGCCTTTTTGGCATTTAACGGAAAATCGTTCAAACATATTTTCATTTTTTTGCAACGGTAGTGCAAAAATAATGCCGAAAATAAGTAAGAAAATTACAGTTATAAGTTGTAGACGCATGATTAATACTAAGCTTAATGCCAAGTGTTTTATGTTATCATTTATCAGTTTATCATTTAAAGAAAATAACGAAATTCTCTTACCCCTCGAAAAACCTTTCGACATATTCTGCCAACACGTGCATAGCCATTCATACAGGGTGCTGTGATAATATTAGCAAGATCAGGCGTATCGTCAGAAAAATTTTTTTTGGCAAACAAATATTCCTCAAAATGTATCCACTCATTACCTGCTTCCGAAAAAACAAAAACGAAGAAACATAGGAAAGCAAAAACAAGTACTTTAGAGCGAGACATTGTGAAGATAAATAACTAAGGGCGATAAAGCAACATCTACGTTTATTATTATCTTTGTACTTCTTCTGATAAAAATAAACTTGACACAAAAATGTGATGTCTTTTAGTAGTTATTACCTTAATAAATTGGACGACAGTCTCCAGCTATAATCTGAATTGTATTAGGGCCACAGTTTGATCTAGCTCGGATTATGTTGGCAGTATCCGTTTTGTCGTTTTTGAGAAATTCAGTAAACGGTAACCACTCACAAAATATGTCACAAATACACAACATAAAAAACAAAAAAAATTTAAAGGTGCGGGTCATAGTTTCTCATTTCACGAAAGAAAAATAAGCAATGATGTTCTTATCTACAATACGAGATTATTTATTTTACCTGTAAGTATATACCTATCTCAAAACACATTCCTACACTTATTTGAAGGCAAATAATTTGAGATAATTTAAATAAAAAAAATTTGGCTTTGAGAAAGATTACTTTAGTAACAAATGATTCAACAAAATCCAGTTTGTCAAACTTTTTTATGCAATTTCTGTAATTTGCGGTAAATTCCTCTAATAAAATAAATTCTCACAAAAAAAAAACCGAAGCCAGGATCAAGTTTTCTTCCCAGACCGCCTCTTGAAAATCATTTCAAGTACCTAATTGTACATTTAATTTTCATTTAAATAAAAATTGGAAATTTGACAAATTATTTGACATTGCCTACCGACCAAGGTGTAAAATACAACCGTCTAGGCCATAAATGGTCAAGGTGTATATGTTACCAGTATACTAAAAAATATTTAATATATGAGGTTATGTATGTATCCTGTATAGAAAATGGAGAATAAGCTCTTCATTACACTAAGAAAACGTTCCAACAAACACTCCTTCTCAACCATTCTTACCAGTATAGAGAAGTAAAGAGATGAGAATTATTTTGTTTATTACTTTATTTTTTTGTAATCGGCGATATTTAAACACAAACCAGACCGGTGATTTATGACTAAATGGTATAATTTGCCAACAAAAGAATCATTTACTGGTAGCCGACCACTTTGAAGTTTCTTATTGTTGTAAATCTTAGAATCTTACCCCAATTACAGTTTCCCATTGTTACCTAAATTTACGATGGCACAAGTAGCAGGTCATAAATAAAAATAATTTTCAAAGTCAAAATGAAAAATTGCATTCAAAATCTAATTGGTATTTTTTTTGATTTCGTAAACAATTACAGGAAGTGAATCTGCGTAGGTTAGTATAAAAATTAGAATTTAACTTTTTGAGAGAAAATTACTTTTTATTTTTTTGGCTTTGTTTGTGAATGATAAATTACCAAAAAATTAGGGAATGTACCTTACTAATGCCCAGGTAAGTGTAAAAAAAATTAGCAATTTTATTTAATTAGAAGTGGGGATTTCTTTTCTTCGCGTTACCGATGCTCCACCCGGTATACCTAACCGAAATAATAAAAAATTTGTTGTAGTGAAAATAAGAACATAATGATTTGTTGCAATCTCATATTTTCAAAGTTTGTGACTTTGGGATACTTTCACTTCACTTTTTGTGTTAATATTAAGCAAAACTAATTATTTATGGTGTTGTATCTCCAATTATGGCCGAAGATCTTTGTAAAAAGTAATTTTTTCGTCTTTTTTTTTATCTCACTTAATTAATTCTTTCAGAATGCAGCTGATGATCGCACCCGTAAAAAGCGACGCCACACTATAATCAAAGATAAAGAACCCGAATTTATTAATTAATTAAATTGCGTTTAATTCAAAATCTAATTGGTATTTTTTTTCTGATTTCGTATAAAAATTATAGTTTAACTTTTTGGAAGAAAATTACTTTTTATTTTTTTTTTGGCTTTGTTTAATTACCAAAAAATTATGGAATGTATCTTATCAATGGTGAGTGTAAAAAATTTCAACAATTTTATTTAATTATTAGTGGAGGTTTCTTTTCTGTACGTATCCGATGCCCCACTTGGTATATACAATTGTAAGACATACCAAGCTTATTTTACAACAATTAATAAAAATACGGCAAATAGATTTTTTAGATATATTTTTCAGAGGTGTCTTAGAAGATTTCCTACACCATACCAGAGTTATGTTATATTTTAGATACTTGCACCCTGTATATTTTAGAAATTTGGTAAACGCGAATCAGTCACATAATATAAGAAATAAATAAATACCAAAAAAAAATAATACATAAACGTGCAAACCTATCGGCTTTGGAGGCCATAAACATCCAATAATGCCCTATTATGTATATACTTTTTTTTTACATATCATGCTTTGAAATTTAGTAGAGTGAAAACTAAAGTAGAAGGAATTTTTCATATAGAAAATATAGATGCTTCTTATTTATGATTTTCTAAATAATTCTTTTAGGTGAGTTAACACTTTCTTAAAAAGTTAAAAAAAGCAAAAAAAAAACCTCCTTGCTGTAAGAACTTTTTTGTATCTACTGGAAGCTTTCTCAATATCTTTTGTTACTAAAATTGTGTATTTCTGGCAGTCACACTTTATTATAGTATTTTAAAATATTAGTAACAATAAAACACAAATAACTTAAAATTGCATTTTGTGTGTTTTTTTAATCATTTAACTTTGCGTGAAATGGATATTATTTTTAAAGTCAATAGAAATAACTGCATAAGATCAGTTCACAAATCTAAAACAATTTTCAAAAAGTAGTTTTCACGGAGTTCCTGAGTTATTTTACCTATGCCAAAGCCAATACTTACATCACCATTCATCATCGTCATCTGTAACAGCTTTGACACATTTACCGTTGATTCTAACATGACCAAATTTGCAACGAGATTTGATAATGTTTCTTAGATTCGCATTGGGGCTGCTAGATTCGGCATCAGGACCAAAAACTTTGATAACCCACGTTTGATAATCCTCATTTTTATCAGTTACACCATCTACATTCTTAAAAGATTTGACACACTTATCGCGAATTCTAACGTAACCAGGTTTACAACGAACTCGAATGAGATTTTTAATAACCGGATTTATGCTAGAGTCATCGTGATCAAGAACCTTTTTGATAAACGCATCATGGTATTTCCCATCCGCGTCACTCAATACACAAGTGATCGAAATCGCAATCAAGAGAAATAGACAAACTTTTGACATTTTACCGGTACTTTAACTTGTGAGAGTTCTGACGACAAGTAGCTTTTATTATTGTTGAAAGATTTGATAACATTGTTTGCATTGTCTCAATGAAATTACAGTTTTATTGCAATTTATGAAAACACAAAATTTCCGTCGCAAAATGCGCAGGTTTAAAAAGGATCTATTTTCCTTTATTATATTATTTTTTGATTTTAAAAACACTTCCAAAAAACTTGAAATAAGCAAGAAACGTCTGAATCAAAAATTTCATTTTACAATTAATAAATTTCAAAAGTTTTAATTCTTACGTTGATTCTGTAGTAGACAATGCATGAACCACCACATCTGGAATGGTCACTTTCAGCTTAAATGGTTCGACGCATTCCCCATTGTGAGTTAATAATTTTCCCACTGGACAAGAACTTGAAGTATCGATTATAGTTCTTCCTTGTATTTTACATTCTGTACCAAATAACAAAAATACTGATATAAAAACTATCACAATTTTCATTTTGAATACACGATGAACTAATTTGATTTCAACAAAATTGCACTTACATTTAATGTTTATTTGAGATAAATAAAGGTCGTGAGAGATCATCAAAGAAATTTAAGATTGTATAAATATAAAACGTTTTTATTAAACTTGCAAACATTACAGGACATTTCTAAGAAAACCAGTTTTTGACAGGTGCCACATCCTCATTTTCCTCGGTGGTACTTGGATCAATGGTTGTCGTTTCTTGTACATAAGTTACTTCTGTTTCTTCTTTGGTTGTTGTAGTTACTTCGTTATTTTGGTTTACGTTAATAGGTTCTCCATTTAAGAAATCAAGTCTGATTGGTGTATTGTTTGAGGAAGGATCAAGACTTCTGTTTATTGTTGTTCTTATAGGTTTAGTTTCCACAACAGAGTTACTAGTCGCAGCACCTTGGCTCACTGTGTAGTTACTATGAGATGATGTTGTCGCTTTTGGTAGTTTGGGAATTTTTTTCATAAACTTTTCAAATTCGTCGTCGTCGATTATCTCTGTAGGAACATTGGCATATGGATCTCGTTGATTAGATTGTTGAAAGTTATTTAAATTCAGATACAATCTTCCATAAGGGTTTGTCGGATATAAATTTGAGTTTGAATTACTGTTAACTGTCTTGTAATTGTTATTATTGTAAGCGTAGGGTAAGTTATAACTGTTGTATGATCGTTGATAACACGGAAAATATTGACAATTGTTAACCGGTTGAACACTACCACAAGATGACCTACATGGCGAAGGTTGATAAGAATAAGGGTTACTTCTTACATTAGTGTATCCATAATTTCCATAATAGGGATATTGATATGAATAGTATGGATATTGACAAGAGCCACAAACAATCAGACTAATAAAACTTATCAAAATTTTGACACTCATTTCTTCTCGTCTACTTACATTTACTTTCATATAGGAACTGAAACTTTCAACAATGATTATCTAATTAAGTGACCTCAGTAGCCTGTCTAAACATTATTACACAATATATCCTATCAGAGAATAGTTACAAGATAAAAAATGTTAAATGAGTACAAGAAAAGACTAGAAGAATAACGAACAAGACACGAGTCAAAGTTCAAACTATTAAATAGTGCACAACAATCTGGACTGATCAACATTACCAAACATATCTACACTTCCTGTTAACTAACTTAAAAGGTGCCTGACAAGGTATCCGAATTAAAGACTTTTCCTTCAAAATAACTGCAAAAGACTTTATAATTTTCGTCAAATGTGTTCGCCAATTACCATTAATGGTGGTCGTTTCAGCTTCTTCTTTCATCTTTTTGAATTCATCTGAGTATAAAATCTCATCGTGGTCACAACTGACAAAACTCGAAAATAATATAAGACCCACGTAAATTGTTACCAGTCTCATAAATACACTCATGTTTTTTCATCTTAAAATACAATAAAGCAATACACATCAAATTATTTATCAAAGATTTATTGACTTACCGAAAATTTTTGAAGACCTGAAAGAAATAAGTACTTTTAATTTTGAAGCCCATTTAAAATCAAGATAAAATGTAACAAGAGTTTTGACTTTTTAACCGACACATTAAATCACTTACAGAAAAATATAACTCAAGTCGGAATATACAGACAAAAACAACTGCTATCGAACTTCTGGAAAAAGATCACCGAGAATAATGATAACAACTTAAATTTAGATTTTATTATATTGTGGGTTGCTTTTACAATTTATAAGACATGATTACTTAAATTATTTCAAAATTGAAAAAATAAATTAACTGTGTTTTAAAAATAAATGCAAGGTTCATGATGCTGTGGAGGTTGGAGACTGGTCTGTAAATAACAGTATTTTATTATTATAAAGTTTGTTATTCGTATAATTACCACTGCAATCATCGTTGGAGACAGCACCTCCACTGTTGTTGTTATCGCTATTATAACACGAAGTGTCCTGATTTGGAAGCAAAATTCCAGTGACTTTATCCACAAGACATACAACTCCTTTTCCTAAATCGGCTACATCATCAATTACTCCATTTATGATGTCGGCAATAATGGGCTTTGATTCTACTACACTTGTTTGAAAAGTACTAAGAAAAGCAAGCAAAAATACCAAAGAAATCTTCATTATTACTCTTCACTATTTTACTGACTAGATTTTCATAAAAAAATGCGCTTTTATATAGTGAAAAGGATTAGAGAGATTAACATATTTTTTTCAAATTTGAATACACAATTCTCAAGTAAAACGAGTGTTTTGCTTAAAACAAAACATGTTTTCGAAAAAAAATGTTGTCATTAAGATTAATAATAAAATAAATAAAATAAAAACAAACGTAGTAATT